ATTAACTAATAGGACTGAAGGCCTGTTCACCCAAACCTCCCTCTTCTATACTCTACTGTCAGAGTTTAAAAGGACATTGAAATTTAGTAGGTCACCAAATATCTATAAAAAGGATGATATATTACATTTCTCATATCCTTAAAGTTCTTACTGTCCACTGTGCCACGCCTCCCCGAAATCTGCGCCTATGACTGCGACTATAATCTCACGAATTAGCGCACGCGATCGAAAGGATGTAAAATAATCAAAATTTTACATTTCAAAAGGTTTTAGTGTAATTTTCTAGCCTCCATCTCAAAGTTGTTCCTTATGTTGTGGCTTATATCCGAACTTGTTTGGTGAGAGCTATAAGGAGGTAGGATTCATCACTGTAATAAACATTTGCTGTAATAATAATTACCTAATAAAAATAAAAAAAGTAAACATGAGATAAACGATAACAGGTCTTTGTCTCCAAATTATATTGTAAACAGGAAAAAATATATACTCGGAAGACAAAGCTTATATCATGAGCAAACGCCATCATGGATAACATTTTTCTCAAGAATGGCTCAAACGAGATTTTTTAAAAGCCGTTTTATCAGTTTAAAATTAAATGGTCTTTAATATTAGGTAAGAATTAACATCTTTGGAATAGTCAGACTGAGTTTACATAGTGATTTAAAAAAAAATTCTGCAAAATAATTTTAATTTTGTTGGATTGAAACAACTCTATAACCATATAATTATTATTATTAAAATAAATAAAAATCATAAACTTCTTTAATAATTAACTAAAGGAGACTTTAAGGCTAGTAATAATAACACTATCAAATCTCTAACACACGACAGGTTAAAGGCGTTCCCGATTATTGCTACCGCGCGTTCTCAGCAATACAAGAATATATCGTTGTTTTATTGCAAAAAGTCATTACGTGACATTTTATAACCTTAAATAATTAAGAACTTTGAAGAATTTTCTCGTTTGAAATCAGAAAATTTTCAGCTCGTTGTGACTATATTCAGGGGTGCACAGAAGAGTTTTTTTTGGGGGGAAGGAGGGCACTTTTTGACGGAGTTTTCAATTTTTGAGGGGGGCACATTTCGACTGGGTTATAGATTTTCAAAATGAAAAGTTTCAAATTAAAACACAAATGGAAGCATGGAACAGACCGCAATATATGTAACTGTGTATAATTTATGAATATTTAAATTCTACTTTGCACTGTTTTTAAGAAGAGGAGGGGGATAAAATATCTTGGGAGGGGAGGGGAAGGTTTATGCACCATCGGCCAAGGAGAGGTGAAGAGTTTGAGTCATCTTCATGCACGTACAGTGTTTTGCCTATCGATAAATAAAATCGAAATTCACATAAATTTATTTGATAGTTAAGCTATATCAAAAATGCTTACAATAAACCGATGATATATCCTCAATAAAAGCAGTCCCCGACCTTTGTCTCCTTTTGGGCACATTCTTTGGTTAATATTAAAACAGTAGACACCAGTTTATTTGCGTTTTTTTTTGAGATTTTTCATAATTTAATGTTAACGTTAATAATAAATAACTAAAAAAGAATAGAAGTACAAAAATAATTCAAAAGAATAAATAATAAAAAAAAACACATTTAAAAAGTATTGCTCATATTCTTAAGTAAATATTTAATATTTAATCATGGATTAAATCACCCCAGCTTTCAGTATCCTAAGTAAACATTAAAACATTTCATTCCCAATTTAAATCGCATAGGTACTTGATAAAACAATTTCGCTTCTGTTAAGTTAGTAAGGATCTCTAATTTCAATATATATATATATATATATATATATATATATATATATATATATATATATAAAAGAGTTTGTCTCATCTTCAGGCACGTATAGTATTTTGACCAAAAAAAAAAAATATATATATATATATATATACATAATATATTCAATTTATGACACAATTTATTCCTTTATGACATAGACAATGGGAAGAAACGTATAGAAATAAATAAACTGAAAGAAAACGAGAGGGAACAGGTTCAATAGAAATTCAAACAAATTTTGTGACTCAAAATTGATACTGGGATGTTTTTTTTTCAGCTCTCTCTCATGTGTTTTGTTTTTCTTTATTTACTTATAGGCATAGTTTTTTTCGTTTCTCTTGACAACCGATATTGATATTTATAATTGATCAGGCAAATAATCAAATCTAATACATTTTCATTTTTAAAGCTTATTCCATATAAATTATATATATATATATATATATATATATATATATGAAACATTGTTTTTCATTTATTTACTAAGTAACATGTAAAAATTTTAAAATGTAATTTTCGACATACTGAAGTATCATTTCCCGTCTACCTTCAAATTTAATGAACATCAATGATATTTTAAGGGCAGCGGTGTCCAGAACACTGAAAATGTAATAGTATATGGGCTATGAATTCTACATTAGCTTGCACTGTTTTTAAGAAGAGGAGAGTAATGAAATATGTTAGGAGAGGGGAGAGGAAGGTTTTTGCGCCATCGACCATAGAGGGGGAATGGTAGATAGGCACCCCTGTTGTACGGAAAACTTTACTATTAAGGTGGGTGGGTGAACTATGACAAACTTAACTATGAACTGTATCTACTGTGAAAAATGGAGAAATGCACGGGGTTGCATCCTTTTTTGTTTTCATTTGAATGTTCCAAATATTTCCAAAATATTTCATAGATAAAGGCGAAATCTTTTAATCCTTCAAATATCCGGTCAGGATCTAATGAAAAACATGTTCAGAATTTTTCTCTCAAAACGCATTTATTTTTTCTTCTTTGCACGATGGGAAGAAACGCAGATACATCTGACGATTCTAGAGAACAAATAATATTTGGATTAAGAGCAATTGAAAAATATATATTTCCTTTGCGGTACGTGTCACCTATACATCTCTGGTCTCTGGCAATAACTAGTTAAGTTGATGAATCCTTACGTTGCTTTAAGTCGATTATTCTTTAACTCATGACCTCTTTAGGCCATTTGTACGAATCGGTAACTCTAGTAGAGCAAACTTCGCACTCTGGTTAGAATAGGTTTCTTTGTAACAACTCTATATGCCAGAAATGACGAAGTAGAGGCTAAACGAAAAAATAAATCACATATATGATAAAGCATGTAACTGTTATGGCTTCCGACGTAAAGCATGACGAGATTTGTGATATATTTCTCATCCAGAAAACTATTGAAAATTTATTTAAAAAATCAGGAATAGAAACGGAAAAAAAATTTCTTATTTTTAAAAAGTTTCAGTATCACTGGATGTTTCCCTTGCTGCTTTTCGAATAAAGGTTTTACAGAACTTTTATTTTTAAAAAAGCTTTGTTTAAGAGTTCTCTCGATTTCACTGAAAAGTCGATCTAAAAATAACTTTATTGATAATTACTCAGACAAACGACTCATGTGAAATATATTTAAAACAAATTATAACTCTAATCTGACCCAGGTTACTGTTTATTTATCATTTAATGGAACTTTTTTTTAAGAACTTAAATTAATACTAGTTAAAATTGTATCATAAACCTGGAACTTCATTACAAACAAGTTTCTTAAAACTTTATTTTAAGAACTTTTTTCAATAAAAAGTTTCACATAAATTTTAGCATGTAACATTTTAAAAAAGTTCCATACCCTGTAAAATATGCTTTTAGACTTCATCCACATTGAATACGAACATCCAATATCCTCAATTTTTAGGGATCAGCATTCAAATATTTTTCTGAAAGCAAGGATAATATTACCAATGAATCTTCTTCTTATTATTATTCAATAATCTCTTCTACCTTACGATGGAGAGAATTTCTTGTTCAAAAATTTCCCTCAGCTCTGCCGAGGGCTGCTCTCCTGGCTTCCGGCCATCCAATTCCTCTGGCCTTAAGAATATTCTTGCAATTATCTTCCCAAGTAATTTTTAGTCTTCCTCTAAGTCGTTTTCTGGGTGGTTTAGCCTCCATAATGTTCATCCTCATTACATGACCGAACCATCGAAGCTGCCCTTTCTCTATTATCTGCTTGAAGGGTTCAATTTTGAGTGTTTCGTATCCGGTCTCTCTTGGTCTTTCCCTCTATTTTTCTCCATATCCATGCTCATTTCCATGCTTTGTTGCGATCACGTTGCTTTAGAGCCCAGGATTCGCTTCCATAAGTCAGAATAGGGACAAACGTCGAGCGATATAAGGCTAGTTTTGTTTCTTTTGCCACTTCTCTCTTACTTAAAAATTTCCTATTGAAGGCCGAGAAGATCCTTCCTAAAGATGCAACTCTCGTATTAATGTCTTCTCTGATTTTCCCGCTCTCACTGATATCCAATGAATCAAAAAGGTAAACATCAAAGTAGTGGCTCACTTCACTGTTCCGGGGTTTACTTTCTGTGTCATTATGAGCAAAAGGTGTCATGATGAATCAGAAAATATTATTAATACCCAATAGTTTTTATATCTAATTCGATTAATATTTTTCTGATGTTCGTAAATGAAAGCAAGGAGTCCCGGCTTGAGAATTGATTTTTACAATAAACTAGATATGGATAGAAATTGAAATATTTGAGAGAAAAATCCACCGCTCGATAACCGGAGCGATCAGAGTACCAAAACACGGAGGAGAAAGACCAATAAAGTGCTTCTTATAGAAACTGGTCAATCATTATCCCATAATATGAAGGCACGGAAATTAAGATGGGCCGGACCTGTAGCACAAAAAAGACCACATGGAAGGCCAAAAAGCAGATAGATAGATAGAATCAACGAAGATACAATAGAGCTTCATGCAGATAACTAGAAAGAAATAGCCCAAGATAAGCAGAGATGGAGTAAGCTTGTTAAGACGGCAAAAGATTAACAATGTCTGTAATGCCAACAGAAAAAAATGGATTGAAATCGGTTTTCTATTTTAATACTTATGACCAAGAAATGAAAAATGATTCACTGTTTGCTTTATCTATCTACTCTTCTGCCTTTATTGCCAGAGATAACGACTCGGGAATTACTGACATTTTCTCCTTAGGGATAAATAAACAAAAAAATACCTGCTCTGTGCATCTTCCTCCTGTGAAGAGGAGTGGTGGTGGGGAGAGACGTATATAATGGTCTCGAGCACAGGGGGAGAGAAACAACAACTTATCGTTCAGAGCAACCAATTACAATGTGAGTAGAGCTAGCCCAATAACTAACAATAAATGGATATTTGATAATTATGCGTTTATCAACTAATTTATTAAAGATATAAACCAATAGTGTCGATTTACGATTATTACTAACAAACGTTTTAAAAAATGCTATAAATTATTGCTCTTTATTATTTATTAGATTATAAAATTATTTGGATGATATATTTTTATTTTTTTAAGCGCCGAGATAATGATTACAAAAGAGTTTTTTTTTTTACCATATCTTCAACCGTACACGTAAAATGAATATATGAAATCTCTAATCGGTCGCCATTTTGGGACTAAATGGCAGACAATAATGTGGAATTCAGAGGAGCAGATCTGAAATCTGTCGGCTACGTAGTCTCAGAGAAAGACGGCGCACAATGGTCTGAGACAATACCTCATCTGATTTAGGTGTTCTGATAATTCAAATTTCCAATTTTTTAATGAAGGATTTAATATAGTTAACTCTTATATTCTAACAATTCAGGCACGAAGAAAATCCTGGTTTCCATTATTTTCAATAAAGTATAAATAAAAAGTTTATTATCACCAAATCAATTTTTCAACTGGTTATATATCATTAAATATATTTTTGGTCAGCTTTGAAATTTTTTTTTTCTGTGTAATTAGTTAAAATGAGTGAAGTAATTTATTTCTTAATAAATTCTAAAATCTTCTAAGTTCATAGTACCTGTATAAGTTATTACTCAGTGGATTCTGCGATTTCGCATTTCCGTAGGATAAGTACCTCGCGCCAGTGTCAGTACAGTATTCAAAATATTCTTTAAGCACTCTGTTAATGATGAGTACAAAAATCGACTGCGGTAACTTGTGATTCTGCCAAATTCAGTCAAGAAAGCTGTACGAAAAACGGGCAACATAAAAATCCTAAATACTTCATACCTAGTACAATTTATTCCTTTCGGTCATAGAAAATTGAAAGAAACGTATAGAAACAAATAAACTGAAAGAAAATGAGGAGGAACAGGTTCAATGTAAATTCAAACACATTTTTTGACTCAAAATCGATACTAGGATGTTTTTTTTCAGCTCTATCCCATGTATTTTGTTTATCTTTATTTACTTATAGGCACAGTTATTTTCGTTTCTATCTATATCCTCTTGATAGAAAATTGATTTTTATAATTGATCAGGTAAATAATATAATATAATAAATTTTCATTTTTACAACTTATCACATATAAATTATATCCTATTTATAAGTAAAAACTTAACAATAATAACAACGGCTGTTCACACCAAGATGCTTATATTAATTTAGAAGGCCTGACATGGTATAAATCATTTTATTTTTCTGATAACTTGCCTAAATTATAAGTTTTTTAGGATTTTAAGAAGGGGGTTTCCGGGCGCTAGATGCGTCATCAAAATATTTGAGGGGGAGGGGTTCCCAAATTTCAACGGGGTTCCAAGAAAAAAAAATCACACAAAATCTTAGGCGCCATTTAATAAAGCCGTTTATTAACCAGAGCCATATAATTTTAGCACTGAATCTAATGAGATTAATCTTACGAAGTTTTAGGTGGTCAAATAATTAATAAAACGACAAGATTACAATAATTTTAAAAAAATTATGATTAAATTTATAATTTTATATTATTATTTAAAACAAATAATTCATTAATATGCACACTGCTGGACCATTCATTGATTTTTAAAACCTTAATTCATCCATTAAGGGAGCGGGGTAGCTCAGTGGTAGGGCACTGAGTGCCCTACCACTGAGCTTCCAATGCAAAGGTCCCGAGTTCGAACCCCGGCTCATGGCAGAAAATTAATTTATCTGTTTCATTGGCCGTGGAGCGACCTTGGGTCAGATGTCCCTCCTGGGGCACACCCAGCCTCTATAAAGTGGGTACCCTTAATTAAATAATTAATTAAGGGGGAAAACCTGGCGGTTGAGCGTGATCTCGGTCAAATCACCTCCTTGCACAACCGTTGACCTAGAAACAGTGCTTTCCCTAAATAGTACTGAACCCCAGACCCTTCATGGGTTGTAGTGGTACAGGTTAATTCATCCATTAAATCTTACCCTCAAATGAACTATTTTCCATACAGCTAGAATCCTTATCAATTTTACCGCTTGTTTACAAAATATTACTCAAGTTGCTAATACTGAAGTATGCTTATTAAGTTTTATCAATTAATTTTTTTTCTTAAGTAATAATCTTTTGTTGAAACTTAGTAGACATTATAATAAATCAACAATATATTGCATTTTATGGACTAGACGCATTTTCAACATTGAGATCGTTCGTGAACGGAATAATAAATAAAAGCTAGTTTTATTGTTTAAAAAAAAAACTGGACAACTCTAAAAACGTTTGGCCATCATGGCATCCATTACAAAACAAACTCACTCTCTATTGTTGATAAGGAAAGAAAACTTAAAGGAATTAGGAAACAAATACGAACTACAATAGAATTCACGTTCAATCCCAATGGCATCCCTAGTGGGGCGGAGATAGCTGTGCGACCTGAATCTTACAAAATGGGATTAATTTTATCAAATGGTAACTTCATTAAAAAAAAAAAGAAGGAAAGAAAATTTTAAATCAATTGCAGAAAAACTTTTTGTTTGTTTTTAGTGTAATTTTCTTTTTGTGAATTTATTTTATTAATCATAATAATAAACTTAAAATATAGAATTAAAATTTATTGACGAGCCTAAGCAGAGAAGAATATTATAATTATAAAGCCTAATAATAGAAGTTTTTATTCATTTAATTTTTTCAATAGTGCCTGATATCATATTTATATTAAGCTGGCTAATTATTCAATTGATCATTTTATTATATCATCATACCAACAATAAATACGGTGATAGAAATATATACAAATTATGGAACAATACTTTTTTTAAAGTTGAAATTTGTTTTGTTTTTTTTAGAGGCATTCAAAAATAAACTCATCCCATTCTCCATTTACTAAGGTGGCACCTCACTAGTGAATATGTATTTCATTTTTAGGGGACTCCAAAATGATCTTGTGTAAACCATTATCTAATATGTTTGACCAAGATTCATATAGTTAAAAGTCGGTGCACATAATTTATTTTTCGCTTATTGAACAGCTTTGTAATTACGACTTTAACAAATTCTTTTAAAATTCAGCAGAGATCAGAGAAAGCGAAAGGCTATATTATTACTTAAGTGGAAACACAAAAGAGTTGTAGCTATCGACAAGAGTAATACCAAAGTAGAACAAAAGTTATACATAATTTAACATAAGAAAATAATTTAAAGGACTGGATAATATGTAAAATGACAATTTAAATATACTCAAATAGATTTATGTTTGTAGAAATTAATGTATTGTAAATATACATCTATCCATGTTTTTTATGCTTGGTAGCACAAATCATGTTCGTATGTTAACGGCCATTTGATCACATTTTTTATATTTATTTTATAATTTTAAATACGACACAAAGTGGGACGAAACACTCGATTCTCTGGGCTTAGGTGCTCTGTGTAATTTGTCTAACTTGATCGCATAGTAAAATGTTTGGCAGCATTTTCTTACATTGAATTCAGACACATAGATTTTTAAGAAATTTTTATTTTTAATCAATGATGTAATTAATAATGTAAATACTGTTTGACAATTCCTCGATTATCTGATATCGATTTGTTTCGACTTCCGCCCTCAACACGTCATTGTCTAACGTTGTTGGTCTTCCTGAACGCTAAGAGTCGGAAAATTCAAAATTACTGAATTTGAATTTGAAAAACCACCTTTGTCATTTGCGTACGTCTAATGCATTTAAATAAACATCACAAATGTTTTTGGTAGCGACTGTTGCGTTATTATCCTTATGAAACTCAAAAAGTATGCAATTCCGGTATATACAAAGTATACCAATATATACCTCGTCAGGTAATTGGCTGACTGTTACACCGAAAATTGCAAAAAAAAAAATTAAATTAAGTTATTTACAAGTAGACAAGTCAATACAGACTTAGAATGTCCACGACTTAGATGTACACAATGAGCTAACAAATGACAATCAAATAATGACATGAAGAAACGACATTACTTCCCGGTCTCTCTAATACTTATATATTTATTTATTTTTTTATTTATTTTATTTTATGTAATTTGCACCTGCGCAGCTGCGCATCTAGCAAATTTGGTATATGTATATATTATATATATATTACTTATATATATTTCAATAATACTTCTACATTTCTATTTTAATACTAATTAAGACAAAACCGATCATTATATTTTTTAAGAACACATGAATAACTACAACTAACTAAGGTAATAATATACGAACAAATAGTTTGTATATTATAACCTTCTGAAAGGGCTCAAGTGAGGTTGAAATTTTTACTTCATACGTATAATACCTGGCAACAATTTTTTTAAATACTGTTGTCAATAAAATTTAATAAATTTTTGTAATTGTTGAATTTCTGATTTGAAGCTAAGATGGCAGGCTATCCATACCTGGAGCCTCTTTTGTGTCGACAGTTATTTCCACATCCAAAGTATTAACCTCTTGCAGATCAAGGTTCTCAGTGTGGTCCACGTCATCTTCCTTCGTAGGTTTTCCTTGACCGAACTGTAGAAAATGCTCTTTCTATATTATTAGTATTTTTTTTTTTTTGTGCCGACGGTTCACTATATTTTCCTCTCATTCTTATGTACATCTGCGCTTTATGTCATTCTTTTCTTTCCAAATTCGAATACATTTCAAGCTTGTCAGATGTCTTCAATGGTTTACAGCCTTTCTTTGAGAGATTATTAATACATTAAAGGCATTGTAAAGAAAGATAATGATAAGCCCCACCTTGGAATGGAAAAAATTTCATTTGTCTTTTATCTAGTGGCTGTTTATTTTTCTAGAGTACCTTGATCAGTGAGCCACATACTGGCTTTTCACTTTTCCTCAATACATATAGCTTCCTTATCTGTTCTATTTGTTTCTCTATCTCTAATACCTCCCAACGTTGATCAACCGTTAGGCTCTTTAACTGAGAGTAACAATTCATTCTTCCTCTCAATTTTGAATTAGGTTTCATTTTGGTATAAAACAAAATATAACAAGTATGTTTCTTTCTTTTATTATGTTTATTCCTTTCAACTTCTGGTAGAGTTTGATTCTATTCAGTGTTTATTCCAAACTGGAGTAAGCTCCACGATAGCTTCTTACGTCTTGGATGAAACTTTGAGGTCTCTTATTCACAAGCAATGTTTTTCGTACGTTTAGGGAATACCAATGTTTAATTGTGTAGGTCATACTTTTCTTGTTAATATCATATAATTATAATTTATATAGAATGTTTTTATAAACATTTATACTGAACTAAGCTAACAAATTATAAAGACTAGTGGTCAGGGGTGGCCATCCGCCCCAAAGACAATGGCGCATAAATCTTCCCCCACCCCTCCCACGATATTTTTTCCTTTCTTCTTCTTAAAAACAGTGCAAACGAAAGTAGAATTTGAATATTCGTAGATTAAATACCATTACACATCCTGTGGTCTGTTCCATAATTCCACTTGTCTTTTGATTTGAAACTTTTCATTTTGAAAATTCATAACCCCGTCGAATTGTGCTCCTCTCAAAAATCGAAGACCCCATCAAAAAGTGCCCCCTCATTAATTCTGATAGCGCCATAAAACTCCCTTCTGGGTTATAAAACTTCCCTCCTGCTAGTGGTCGCCAAGTGGTCGAAATTCGACCATGATCATTATTGAACTATCAAGGAAACCATAATTTGAATATTTCCAACATTGTTTTTTCAACACTTATATATTCGTACATTCACTTTTATATGTACTTACAAAAGAAAACAGTTCAGTAGTATCCCAGAAATGAGGAATGAACCAAGAATTGTGTGCTTTTTTAGTAATTTGAGGATGAAATTCTAAATCCATCATTACCTTTTTTTCAGCCTCATTTCGGGAAAATATGTTGCACACATAAATTAAAAGGACTTCATGGAGAAGATTTCAGCCAAGTCTTGCAGTGAGTGTCCACTAGGGTGCCCATCCCCCCAAGGTCGATGGAGCAAGAACCTGCAAGAACCCCTTTCCAAGATATTTTATTTCTCTCCTCTTGTTAATAACAGTGCAAAATAAAGTAGAATATCATAGATCATATACAATTACACTTATTGCGGTCTGTTCTCTGTTTTTCTCTTGTCCTCAGTTTGAAACTGAGATTGAATTCCCCAAAAATTAAAAGTATGAATAAAATTTAGGAAAAAGAGAAACAAGGGATGGTCTGACCACCCTCTTTCACTGATGAATCAATCCATTGAGAGTAAGAAAGGGGCTTACCAGCTGGAGTCTTCCTCCTAAAATAAAAATAAAAACTAAGGTGTGTGCTTTAGAGTACACGATGTTTTCACGATAGATGTGAAAACATCAACAAGGCGAGATTAATAACATGAAATATAAATTATACATAATAGCCCATTATAAAGAGTATGGAATGTTGAACAGTTTCCTTTCTTACAGTATGTAGGTCTGATTTTTAGTTTCTGAGATAATTTACTCCATGTCTTCCATAAAACTCGTTATCATTTGGTTTCCAACACTATTTGTTTTCCCAATTAAATTACAATTTTCAATTATAGCCAATTACAGAGAGGATGAAATGCTGTACAATTTCCTCGCTTACAGTATGCAGGCCCGATTTTCAGTTTCTTAGATATTTTAATCCATATGTTTTTTTTTTCCTACGCCTAAGTAACGCCTGCTTCATCAGTCATGCGAGCTCTTGCAGTCCAATATAATTTTGCTCTCCTAGCATAAGGGCTGTCCATTTCACTAAAGGAACATATGTCCTGTAATGTAGGGCATGTATCAAGATGTTCTCCTGTCATAATACCCAACCAAGAAACACAGAAGGCATCAAGGAAATCATGGCCTGTGAGCATTCTAAAGCATGCCACGGCTTGCCCTCTAAGGAGGTCTCTCGGGATTCTGTCACTTTCTTCCAGCAATCCACTCCAGCGCTTCCCTTCAATTGTTTGTACATATTTCTCCTTCAGCGAACTTTGGAGTGTCTGTTTTATAATTCTTTTCGGTGAATCCATGTCCAGAGGAATATCTGGTTGGATCATTCCAGAACCTATTCTGGCCAGTTTGTCAGCTTCATCATTTCCGTGGAGCCCGCAATGGCCTGGTATTCACTGGAAAGCGACTTCTGTCCCATTTTCCTTTAATCGGTTCAAATATAGATGACATTTAAGGACATTTTGATTCATATTATATGCATTTTGGAGAGATAACATGGCTGCCTGTGAGCCAACAAAGAAAGCAACTTTCTTGTATTCAATTAATCTCTTAAGGCCTAAGAGAATAGCTTTCCCTTCCCCTTCAAAGTTTGTGGCTACCTTTTCGAACGGGGCGGCAAGTTGAAACTCCTTTGAATAAACACCAGCTCCGGCATGTTTGCGTGCTTCCAGTGCAGAACCATCAGTATATACATGGAGCCATTCTGTCTCTGGGAATCGTTTTCCGATGGTTTCTAGGGTTATAGCCTTTTGTTCGTAAATTGGTGTTGTATCCTTAGAAACATTCTGAAGAAGATCACAGTGAACAACAAATTGGCTGGTGAATGGAACTTGTGTCAATGACGGGAGAGGCTCCCTTTCAGCTAATTCTAGTCGTTATGTATCCAAATGTAAAAACATTTTAATTAGTCGACTCTAGCCGACATTACCCGTGCGTTAATACGTCCAGGTAACCGTCGGGAATCTGACGAATCAAACTAATCACTCTTCACAAAAAGTGCAAAATGCACCTAAAGAACTATTCATTTCAAACAATTTTTTTTTCATTGATCCATATTTGTTTCTGTGAGTTATCTGAGCTAAATCATTAAACAATCACAATATGCAATATTTTTTAATTATAAAACTTATACTGCTATTAATGCGCTAGTAATGGCACGAAGAGGAAGATAAAGAAGAAGAGATATTGCTACTAAAGTTAAGCAAGTGTCACAGAATATTTTTCCTTTTTAGGTATTTCTCAGCTCTTCTTGTCACACTCTTAGCTGCCGTAGCAGTCCGCGCATTTCCAACTGGAGTGCCCCCGTCAGTATGTGAATCCATGATGCCCGGCCATGGGGTACCACCGCAAACCAGCCCATCTCCCTATGATATTATTATTGAAAAAACTAATCTCCAAAGAGGTCAATCTACGAAGATTACAATCAAAGGTATACCTAATATGCTTTACTTAAAAAAAAAAATCAAAGAAATTTATTGATGAAATTAATCTTTTTCTTTACTTGGAATAAAACATTATATGTATGATTTCTAGTATTATTTTTTTGATAACATTAAATTTTGAATACAGGTCAAAAAGATGCCACCTTCAGAGGCATCTTCGTTCAAGCCAGAGGGGATAAAGACACACCAATAGGAAGGTTCACTGTGTCTGACAATGACGGAAAACTCCTCGATTGTGGTGAAGGAGAAGAAGTAAGTTTCAAACAATATCGTAATAACTGTTAAGATACATATAATTTATTTATTTTTTACTTTCACTTATCTATATATGAAATATATCGTAAGGAAAAGTGTTGCGATCTTGAAGATTTTCGAATCTGAGTTTATCATTTGCTTTCGGACACACTTTTTTCCTTTTCCTATCACTAATACGGCGTCGCATTAAGATTTAATTTTGAATAATAATAAGGGAATGGGGTAGCTAGTCGTAGGGTACTGAGCTTCCAATGCTAAAGGTCCCAGGTTTGAATTCTGGCTCATGGCAGAAAAAATAATTATTCTGTTCCATTGGCCGTGGGACGACCCCGGCTAGATAGACCCCTCCTGGGGGCACACCCAGCCTCTAAAGTGGGTAACCTTAATTGAAATAATTGATTAAGGGAAAAAACCTGGCGGTTGAGCGTAATCTCGGTCAGATCACCTCCTTACACAACTATAGACCAAGAAACGGTGCTTTCCCTAATTAGTACTGAACCCAAGACTCTCCATGGGTTGTAGTGGTGCAGGTTTTTGTAATAATTAGCCATTACAGAGATGATGAAATGCTGAACAATTCTCTCATCTACAGTATGCAAGTCCGATTTTAAGTCTTTGAGATATTTTAATCCATATGCAAAAACACTTCAATTAGTCGACTCCAGCCGACTTTACCGGAGCGTTACACATCGGAGATCTGATGGCTCAATCTAATCCACACTCCACAAAAAAGTGCAAAACGCGCCTAAAGAAGTTTTCACTTCAAAAATATTTCATGGATGAGTAAAATATATATTTATGACCTTAAATATATTTACTGTAGTATTATAACTCTAGATCCGATATTATATTTAAACAATCAGGTATACATTATCGAATTATTCCAATAAAAATTCCTTTTGTGAAATCACATTATAAACTTACAATCAGTGTGACGACTTTTGACCTATCCTTGCTGTATCTGAAAGCAAGTAACTGTATTTTGGTAAATTTTTCAAGGGTTAAAAATAAGTATTTAAAGAAATTTAATTCTTATAATTTTTACTGTGTTGTATGCATGACCTTAGTTATCCATAATTAAATTAAATGTACTTTCAAATCTCCCCTTGTCTATATTACAGGCGGATCTAAGGGGGGGTGAGGACTTTCGGGCTGAAGCCCCCCCCCCAAAAAAAAGTAAAATATAACCATTTTTTACAGAAAAAAATATTAAAAACTATCTCTTGAAGTATTCTTGTTCGTTTAATTACATTTAATAGGACTTCAAGAACCACTTAAACACCATTTCATACAGGTAGTTAATTTCTTTCTTTTTTTTTCAAATTAATTATTGTTATATGTACATGAAAAAAAATCTTTCGGGCTGAAGCCCCCCCAAAATTAAATCCTGGATCCACTAGTAGTCTACATAGCTCATAGACTGGAGTTATGTGATTCAAATAGACTGATGCAATTATTAGGTTTATATTGTCTGCACTGGGTATAATATATAGGGTTTATGTTATTTTGTTGGTCTTAATCACTTTTTGTACTAATGAATGTGACCGAAATCAAAAATAAGTTGTTTAAGGTTTAGCTCAACTAAAAATGCGCTTCAAAAACTTCTTGTAATGGCAAAATTTTGCCAGACAAGAATTACTTTTCAAAGTAGAGAGGTAAATGAAAGTTGTGTGATGCGCAAACTCAATGTTTTATCCTCTATCCTCACTGACAGAATGAGGGAAAACCTTTTGTCTAGGAATGAATCATTTAATCATTATTTATTCGTCCCTTCTTCTATTTTTACTATATGCATGTAGAGAATTTTTAATTTTCAATAAAATATATTTTATTTCATGATTCTAAATTGTGTTAGGTGCTCAGACCATCTCAAGTTCTTAATCTGGTCCTGTCCACTACAGCCTTTGACCACACTCTTCATAGATCGATAACATCCTACTTATTTCACCTATAGGGCTTATTAGTATTTTTAATTTCTTTGTTCATCAATCTCAACCAGACAGTTTTCCTCTTCAGCATTTCAGTTTATTTAGCTAATGCAATATAGGATAGTTTAGTTTTCCATAATCTTCCTCTTGGACGTCGAGTAATGTAATACAAAAAAGTAGAATTATCGCTAGAAGTATTTGAAATTTGTTTGTTTAGGTTTGCTGTTGTAACACCACTTACTGATAAAACATCAGTAACAAATAAAGTTTGTCATTTTCTTAGTCAATACTAATTGCTTTCTTTGTTTAAAAAAAAAGTTAATCTCCATTTTTAAATTACCAACTAATTTTCTGTCGTAAAAAGTGTAGGCTTCTTCAGTTATAATGAATAGTTTAAAAAAGAAGTTTTTCATCAAACAGCTAGCTGTTACCTGCCAATTCACTCACAAATACTTCTTTTCCACCACTAAAATTAAACTTATCCTGATAAGGGTCTAAGTTTATGATAAGAATAGTTAACAATAATGCATATAAAAATTGAGTTCACTGGTTAGTTTCATAAAGCTAGTTAGTTTATTTCTTTTTCTTCCAAAGTAATTAATAGTATAATAATTAAAAGTAATTAATATATAAAAATATAAATAAAAGCTTTTGGACTTCAAATTACTTACTACTTACTACTTCAAAATTAAGTAGTGGATCTGCTACTCTTCAGTACCCCTGATAATGCTTTAATTTAGAAGAGAATTTCATTACCTTTCAAATAAATACCTACAATTCACAGGATAGGTAGGATAATAGTTTTTTAGTTATTTAGAGAACAATTTTTATGAGTTTGAAATTATTTGTTTTAACTGCTTAGAGAACAAATTTTTTCAAACCCAATCTTAGTAAGCAGTATAAGGGGAACCAACACTTCAAGCTTCATGGACATTTTCATTTACAGTGATCAATAAGATTTTGAGTGAACATCTTTGTTTTAAATAGAGAGATAAATTAAATTTGTAAGTAAAAATTGACTCATAATATTTAATGACTGTTTTAAAAAATAAAATGAAATTTTGATATTATTGTTGATACTTTTTAATCAATTAAGGAATAAATTATTACAATATTTTATTGTTATTTTTATTAAGCCAGTGTTTAAAAAAATTACTAAACAATCAGAGGATTCATCCTCTCAAGCTGAACAAGCAATAATTTTTTATACAATAGATATTAAAACTCAAAATCTTAAAACTTTTCTCAAAGAAATGTACGTTAATATGTTTATCTGATTGGTCCATAACTATCACAGTATATTAAGCTTCTTTTTATAGATAGAATTGTGTTATTCTGCCTTATACCATTGGTTGGTTTGTTTTAGTTCAATGGTGTCAAACTGCACTGGTCATCAACGCCATTTTTAACTTTATATTTATTTATTCATTCATTATATATATATATATATAATTACTTATGTTTTATTTCATTTATTTGATGTTACATTTTTGTTAACATATTTTTGGATTTTATAAATTTGGGGACTAATTCTATAATTTTATTGTCATCTTTAAGGATTTTTGCTAATTCGGTTTTTAATTTGAATCTATTTAGATGTGAAGTAAAATATGGGCATTCCTGAAAAATATGGTATATTGTAATGATAATATTGCAATGTTGAGATGTGCTTTCTTTGTGATGAGGTTGGGGTGAGTAAGTCTAGTGAGCCTATTCTCAGTTGGGTCAGTATTATTTCCTCACTACAGCACTTGCGGCTGGAGGTGACCCAGGGATTTTTATCATTTTGAGTTTGTTTAGTGGGCTTTGATTCCACATGGACTGCCATGTGCCTTTAATTTCATATTTTACTTAATTCCGTTGCAGTGAGAACTGCATTACCCCATCCAGGTAGCGCTTATACCAATGGCATCGCTAATGTTTCCAAAAAGTAACTTAAAAAAAAAACTGTTTCACTATTCACTAAGCTAGCAGCTTTACCAAGCTTGGTGTATTTAATATATGCTTCTAACTCTTATTCCATATAGCTATATTTCAGCTATTTATGAATTACTTTTAGTCTCTTTGTGAATTTATTTTGGTATACTAATCTCTTATACCTTGTGCTCTTTATTCTAATATAGTTTTTCTTAAAGAACAACCATAATTATGGTTTGTTCTTCTTTCTTCTACCTCCTCTTTTGTAGCTTATTACGGAGAAGTCTTAAACCAAGCATGCAGCTCCAGTAGATTGCCACCACCTTCATGTTATCCATCCAATTTTCTCTCTTCTCTACTTTTTGAGTCACTTGATCCTTCCCTCCATAACTTTCCTCTTATTCTAACTTCATGCTTGGTAATGGACAGATTGTTTTGTTTTTCTCTAAGATCTCTCCAAATATAGTCAACTACTTTTATAAGATATTTATTTATTATCTACTAATATAAGATATATATAAGATATTTTATTTGCTGGTGCCAAATTTGATTTAAGGAAATATTTAAAAACTAATAATTATCTAATTATTATTGAAAAATTTACAGAATGCTGTTTCCCATATAAATGCCAGTGATAAAAAAGAGATAACTGTTGTTTGGACTGCACCAAAGGATTATAAAGGAGAAGTTATCATCTAGTAAGTTATCTCATTTTAAAATACATAACATATATTCAAATATATATAATGATCATGACAGTTAGACAATAATAAGACTATAAAATTCAACTCTGTACTGATTAAATGTCCACCAGATCTAATCAAACAGTATATGAATGGTTAAGATGTGATACCTTGTATCTAAAAAAAAAAAAAAAAAACAGGTTACATTAAGGATAAAAATTTAATTTAATTACCAATCAAAAATATAAAAATCTAAAAACAGAAAAGATCAAAATACAATATTGTTTTGAAGTTTCATGCCTTTCTCTATTAGATATATTATGAGCTATCAACAGAAAAGTTAATTACTCATCATATACTGTATCTCTTGACATCCATTTTTGATACAGATCAGTATGATCTACAAATAGAAGGCCTCACCATTGTAAAAACATGAAATATAATTTATCATCAGTTACAAGTTATAACTTGTTAACAATTTATAAGCAGTGCCGGCCTTAGGATGGAGCACCCGGGGCAATTTCTCTCCAGGGGTACTCGCCACTTGTTGGAGATTAAAAAAAAAATACAAAACGTGTTGAAATAACTAATTTTAGACTATCAATAAAGCACTGTATTAGAGAAATGTTGAATGAAATAAAATTCAAATATTACATAATATAAAACATTTTAAGAAATTAATTTGTTCTTTTTTGGGGGGCGGGGGAGGGGAGAGGGGATGACGTCATTGCCCCAGGGCACCGAATGTCTAAGACCGGCACTGTCTATAAACATATAGAATTGGTGCACTTTAAACTCTCTTAAAAGTGGTTTATACTATATTTCTTAAGGAAGTAATTGGAAAATAAACATCAAAACTGAATATATTAATATTTAAGTTTTCCATCAATAACATCATTTCACTTTTACTGAATTAATCTTTGTTTTTTTCAGTCTTACTACTGTTAAAGTTTTTGATATATTCTGGGTTAAACAAAAATCTGCACCTATAACTATCTCCTGAAGAAATGTGTTCTAGTGGTGGCTATTATCAACAAAATGGTCGAAGAATAAATCATTTATGTCTGCTTGTTATGATATTGCTGAAATATATTTTTAATTTTTTATCATTTTCATTATTATATTGAAAACCTTTCTTTTCTTTAAATAGGCTTTAATTGAGAAAAAAATAATTTCTTTGGTTTCTTCTTCACAAGCATCTTCTTCTGGTCAACTTATGTTCCCCTCTTACTTTATCCTCAACCTACTTCACACATGTTCCTGTAAATGTACGTAGGACTGCTTTATAACATTCATTTACTTATTTATTTCATATAAATTTTAATCATATGAACTTTTAATTACTTTTTTTTTTTTAATTTCTATGAAAAAGCTAATTATATAGTGTTTAATACAGGTAAATTAATATTAAGATGAATATTATTTTTATTATTATATAGAGGGATGAGAAACTCTTCCTCCCTAAACCCTGTATGGATCTTTTATGACATAATGAAGGCCCCAATTTTTATGCATTTAAAACTTACTGAATATGCCATATAATATGCAACAAAAAAACGGTGAAATATACAGTAAAAAAACATGAAAAATGTAGTTATTGATCTCTAAATATGCTCAGCTACTTATTACTATTTACTTGATTACTTGTCTGTCAGTAACATATTTAAATGTAATGATGTACCAACAAAAAGTTTTGAAATATAAAAGAACTTATGGAGGGATTGAAAGTCACAGTAATTTCATTTTTTTTAAATATCTGAACTAAATAATGGAAGTAAAAAAACATTTATGACTAAAAAGGTACCATAAATACATATAATCTACATACGTATATACATAATAATGGTTAAAAACATAACATGAACCACATTAAAAAAAATTGAAATATCAAAATAAAACGAAAGATTTTTAAACTGTTACACATAGTATTCAGGGTTATCTGGCTACAATATCCTGCAATTAGAATATTTTTATCATTTTCTGTAAATTTTTAAAATTTTCTTGTCAGTGGTTGCAGTTAGCCCCTGCATCCGGGCCCTCAGTCCTATTTTTACCTGGACGAATTTTCTGATTAGTCCTTGGTATTTTTCTTTTGATTTTGTGTTCGTTATGGTTAATGTTATCAGGTTTATTGTTTTCTGGTCTACTGCATATTCCCTCAGTATTCCCAGTAAGGTTTCCCTGTCTACTGAGACATAGGGTTTCTTGAAGTCGACGAAGGAGATGTAGAGGTTTTTGGGTCTCACCATATAATGGTTTATCAATAATTTAAGGCTTGGGATTTTTCTTGACAAGATCTTCCGTTCCTGAAGCCTCCCTGGTATTCCCCAATTGGCGGGTTCATTTGTGGTTCTAGACTGTTTAATGGAGCTTTTGAGACAATTTTGTGACCAGTAACAGTGAAATTGCTCTGTAATTGTTTACTTCTGTTTCTCTTTTTATGTAGAGGGTGTACTAGTGCGGTTTGTCAGTCTTCTGGTATTTCCTTTTTTATCCATACATCCATTAATAGCTCTGTGACTTTTCTTCTTAAGTCTTCATTTGTTATTTTTGCCCGTTATTATTTCGTATATCTCCTTATCATCTGGAGGGTCTGATTCCATGTTTTGTGGTATGTTTCCCTTGATTACTATTTTTCCCTCGGTTCTTCGCAATTGAAGAGTTTTTCAAAGTATCTCCCAAAATTTTGCACTTTTCCTCGTTGTTTAGTGCTTGTGCCCTGTTGTGTAGTCTAGTTAATAATTTTATAATATTATAATTATATATCTTTTTTTTAAACTTTTATTATGATATTTACAACTGTATTAGTATGAATACATCAAGTAAATGTGTACATAGGAATATTATCACATGAAACACGCTTGTTGAGAAACTACCCATTGGTAGCACTCTAATAATTTGTCTACATGAGGAGATCACGAGGCCATCTCCTTTTCAGACGCCTCGGAGGGTTATCAGGAATCGAAGAGGAAGCAAGGTTAGAAACAAGAGGATTCGGATGGTTATGAAGTTTATTATGGAAGGATAGGTATCTGGATTTGGCTAAATCAGAAACATGTGGAACATTGAGGTCTTTATGGATTATTTTATTTGTGACAAAGTAAGGAGCATTGAGGATTTTACGAAGGATTTTGGATTGTAAAGATTGGATGCGAGAGGAATTTGATGGTTTAGTGGAGCCCCACAGCTCAACTCCATAAGTCCAAATAGGTCTTATTATAGTCATGTATATGAGTCGTTTATAATTCATTGAAAGTTTAGACCGTTTGTCCAGTAAGTGTTGGAGTAAGCGGAAACGTCGAGCAGTTTCTTGTCGTTTCAGTCTTGTATGAGGATTCCAAGTGAGACGTTTGTCCAGCTGGAGTTCTAGGTATCGGGTTTGTTCTACAGGGATAAGTGGGGTGTTATTAAAGGATACTATAGGACAGCAAGTCATTGGTTTACGACGAAGGGTAAAGGTGATTTGATGGGATTTATTGGAATTTATTTTAATCCTCCAGTTTTGACACCATTCTTCAAGGTTTGTGATGTGTGATTGAAGAGTTTGGGATGCAATTGTTGGATCATTATTAACTGACAGGATACATGTGTCATCAGCATACGTAGTGATGACAGTGTTATAATTATAATTTAATTTTAAAAAAAACAATTTCCTTTTAAGGGCATCCTTGTAAGGTAGGGCTCAGGATGGACTCATTAGTCATTTTGCTATTAAACTGTAATAAAAAAGAGATAAATAAATAAATAAAATTTTTTTTTCCATATTACATATTAAAAATAGGTCATTTTTTACCTATGAAGTAATAATTGATTATCAATGACAAGATATGGTATGTATAATATTTTTTAACAGTTCATCAATGGCTCAAGTTGTCAAATAAGCTACTTTGAATAAAGATTGTTATCTACCTGGATAGATTCATTGAATTGAATGTATTACATAATTAAAAAATATATACTGAAAATAAATTTTCATATTATTTAATTTAATAATTTATCTTAAAAATGGATTTTCTTTGCCAGTTCGTAATGATTTTGATTAGGGCTTGGAATTTTAACCTTAATTTTACTCAGTTTCAGTATGACTACAATATTTATCTTCAATTATTTCCTGTTATTTAGGAACTAGAACTTCATTCATTACAACTTTTTGAGTAAATGTATTACAGAACTTTTATTTTTAAATAGCTTTTATGGAAAACTTCAGTTGATTTCGCCAAAAATTACTTTTATTCTAGGCCTACTCAAAAATCCGCACACTGGAAGCAAGTAATTAATTTAGAATAATTTAATACCATAATCTCTATAATTTAAGCCCAATTAGGGTTGGACCAGTGATGGACATCGCTAAGGGAATTTCTCCCTTTTTTGGCTTATCTCGCCTTAATATTATAGTAATAAACTTCTCTGTTTGACTTAGAATCTCTAGGGTCTCCTTTTTCTATTTAACAATTTAATATTGAAAAAAAATATTCAGTTATGCAGGTATAATCTCCATTTAAAAAAACAACACCTTTTTACACTAGTTATGGACACCTCGAAATTCAATGGTTATTTCAGGTATGTAGAGACTCCAAATATGCAATTTCAGTTGGGTAAGACTTTTTGCCTTGCTATCCAGACCACTAGCGGATCCAGGATTTAATTTTTTTTGGGGGGGGCTTCAGCTTGAAAGCTTTTTTTTCATAAAAATAACGATAATTAGTTTGGAAAAAAGAAAGAAACTAACTACCTACATGAAATGGTGTTTAAGTGATTCCTAAAGTTCTTTTAAATGTAATTACAGGAACAATAATACTTTAAGATAGTTTTTGAATATTTTTTTCCATAAAGCATGGTTATATTTTACCACTTTGGGAGGGGGAGGCTTCAGCCCCAAAGCCCCTCCCCCCTCCCCCGTAGATCCGCCCTGATCTAGATTGTTCACACACATACAGACCATTTTGTTGGACTTGGTTACTTGGACTTAAAAGAACTTAAAACGTGTATTTCCGTCGAAAACTACTATATATTACATATAAAAGTAAGTGAAAGTAAAAAATAAGTGGATTTATAATAATGAAATTTGTTAGTTACAATGCTTCAACTGCAACCAGTCATCGTTTGCCATATCTTAATACAAAATTTATTTAAATCAACTTTTGTATGATAGTTGACTAGATTATTAATCATAATAACAAAATGGTCGGGTTGAGGGTCTTGAAAACAATGAAATAGTAAAAAATGTTGATCGTAAGTTGACGTCTAAATTCTCATTTTACTATGGTATAATATAATAAAATAACATCACGATGAACAGAGTGGAATAACAAAAATAATAAGAAAGATGAAAAATTAAAACAATAAAGACTAATTCAGCAATAAAACAGTGGCGTCCATGAGAGTCGTTCTGGATCATCCGGGATAAGCAGAAGAAAATTCCTCTCCCAAAATAACCTTTGAAAAAAATAAAATTAATGTTGTTTAAAATGTATCTAATAATATCAATACTCGTAAAGAAATTTGAAAAATTTATCATTTATTCTGTAGAGGAAAATTAGAAAATCGACTCTGTTTGTGAGAAATCGTTTGTTATAGATGTATTTATGAATTTAGATAATTACTTTTGAATGCCTATCAAGATCGATATTAAATATATCTAGATATGATCATCGATAAGTAGGTTAATGTGGATCTCAAATTCTTGTTCACTCCCCAAAAACTACCTCTGGATCAGCGTCTCCTTTATATTTTAATTTCCCTTTTGGTCAGTCCGATTTTCCCTTTTTTTCCTGAAGAACGAAATTATAAATTCCTTCCACACAAAAATATAAAAAATGATACGTTAATTGATAAGTAACTACTCGTTTTATGCCCATTTTACAAATATTTTTAAAAAAATTATAATTATTACTAGAATTTGTTTTAAAAAAAATGTTTCTTTTATCCACTCCTAACCTAGAAATTTCCTTAAAAAGGGAACTTTTTCACTTTTTAAAAGGATTATTTCGTAAAAAGGAAACCCTACTTTGTATTTTCCCATGCTTCACTAATCAAGGTGGTTCTATTGCTTCTTCACTACCGAAGGTAGGGAAGCATTGTGTTCATGCGAGAGATTAAAAAATT